TCTCCAAAAAGAATACTGAATCCAAGGTGGGTGGAGGTCACTCACACCTTTAATGCTGCCATTTGGGAGGCACATTCAGGCAGATCTCAGTGATTTCAGGCAACATGATCTGCAAAGTGAGTTTCAAGACAGCTAGAACTGTTAAATCTACTCTAGCTCTGAAACCAGAATCAGTGACAGGAACTTTTTTTTTTTTAATCACTGAACTTAGACTCTAAGAAACACACCCTCACTCTGAGACCAGAGTCAAAGAAATATACTTTGTCTCTAGAATCACAGCCAGTGAAAGAAATATGCCCTGGTTCAAAAACTAGAGCAAAACAAGCTAAAAGGGCCAGTGAAAGAAACAGTTTGGCCCTGAAACCAGACCCAACTCTGCCATTAACACAAAATCAAACAATCCCTGAACAGGAAAAGTAACCAATCCTTCAGCAGAAAAACCTCTCCCTGGGAAAACTCCATCCCTAAGAAGCCTGATATAAACCCATCTGCTCATTCAGTTGTTCAGTTGCTGCCTGTCCTTCTCCACCCTGGCGGAGGTGGCCACTCTCCTGGGCTCCTTACCTAATAAATCTCTTTCTCAAAGGAGTCTGGGAAGATCTTCATTCCCAAGCACAGAATATAAGAACTTGCTGGGACAGTCCCTTATGGAGGGGAGAGCTGTCAATCACAGAGGGTAACTGACAGGTGAGACCACCAGAGTGGGAGGGGCACCAAGGTAGGGGCAGGGCATCACAGGAGGGGGCGGAGCCATCTGCTCATCACTCACCACAGGGCCCCTAGTGGTGGGCAAGTTCCCCCTTCACCTCCCTGCTCTCTAGGTCATGACAGAGGATACTGACAGGGATAAGGTCACCTGGGTGTGGAGACATGTGATCAGAGAAGCCAGAGGATGGGTAACTCATCATCTGACAGTACTGAGCACACAGCACTAACCACTGAGCACACAGCACTAACCACTGAGTACACAGCACTCTACCCACTGAGCACACAGCACTCTAACCACTGAGCACACAGCACTCTGCCCACTGAGAATCAAGTACCCTCTTGTCCTCAGGCAACCCACACCACCCTCCCTGTCACCCTGAGGCCCGGGGATGGGACTTCCCATGTCTGGAAACCTCTGACCTTTTCTGGGGAGTTTCCAGGAATCTACTATCGAGATCTGTGTAGTAGGACGGAGCCTCAGGAGTACTGACCCAGGGAGTACTGAGCCCAGAGCATACTAAGACCCTAGGGTACTGAGCCTGGAAGTACTGAGCCTCAGGGGTGCTGAACCCAGAGTACTGGGTCCAAGGAGGACTGAGCACAGAGTACTGAGACTGTGGTGTACTTAGCCCAGAGTGTACTGAGCTCTGGGAAGACTGATCCCAAAGAGTACTGAGTCCCAGGAGTACCTAGCCTAGAGAGTATTTAGTCCGGAGGGTACTGAGCCCCAAGAGTACCGAGTCTTTGGAGGACTGAGCCCTGAGAGTACTTTGCCCCAAGAGATTGAGTCCAGAGAGCATCGAGTCTTGGGAGTCCTGGGCATGGAGTGTACTGAGTCCTGGAGGTACTGAGCCAGGAGAGTACTGAGCCCCAGAGGTACTAAGGCCCCTGTAGGACTGAGCTCCGGGAGGACCCAGCACCCGCGCCCGTCACTCAAACCTCATTCGCGCACCCAGAGACGAGGAAGGAAGGAGTCCGCCCCGCCCACGGCGCCGTCCCCGCCCCGGCCCCGGCGTGGCGGGAACCGATTCCTCGGGGGTTTTTCCAAGAAGCTCCGCGAGGGGGCGGGGCCCAGAAATGACGTCAGCTACAAGTCTACCCGCTTCAGAACCGAGCTGCAAGCACCCTGCCAGCTCCTCCCTGGCGGCCCCCGGTGGCCCCGGCCCCGCTCACCTGACCCCGGGGCAGCTGCTCCTCCCCCTTGTCAGCCCTAGACCCCCAGACCCTGACTTCTACCCAGCCAGCACCCTAGGTTCTGAGCTTCAGTCACACCACGTTCTGAGCCGCAGGAGCCCTACGTGCTGAGCCCCAAGCACCCCATAGCCCCAGCGACCCCCAGAAAGCACCCCGTGACCCCCTCACTCGCCCCCATCCCTCGCTGTGCGCAGAGGAAAGGGGAAGAGGCCGAAGAGGAAGGTGTGGTTCCCAGAGAGGAACAGGAGGGGCGGGGGCGGAGGGCGCTGCTGCTGCTGCTGCTGCTGCTGGGCTTGGTGGTGGGTGCTGGGCACCCAGGAGTGAGCGGGGCTGGGGCCTCAGCGGGCGCGGAGACGGCTGATCCAGGAGTGACGGACGCACAGCAGGTGTGTCCTGTGCAGTGACTGACAGGCCTGTGCACGCGGCGAGGACGTCACTAAGGTGCGGACCCCACAGCGATGGGGCTCCAGGAGAGCGCCAGGTTCCTGCAGACCGTGCAGAGTGATGGGAGCCGCAAGCCGAGGACACGAGAGTCCGGGAAGAGGAAGCGACGCGCAGTGTCCCGCTCCCTGCCGCAGGAGCACGCTGACGTCACTGGATGTGTCCCGCCCACCGGGATGTCACTCGTCTCTGCAGCAGGGAGATGAAGCCCCGGGGGGAGCGGGGGAGGGCTTTGGGGCCGGAAATGGGGGACTCCTGGAAGCATCCCGTGGGTCCTTACCTGACAGTTGCCAGAGCGTCACTGTCGTTAGTGGCTCCTGGACCGGGTAACCTCAGTCAACTGCAGGTGGTTGACTGACAGGAGGCGGGTCCAGCATGGTCCGAGTGAAGGGACTGCTGCGGGGCACCTCTGGCAGGTGAGTGGGGCGTGGAGGTCGGGGTCAGCACCCCACTTCCGGTTCATGAGTAACACACCACTTTGTGTTCCTGCGCACCGCATGACCGCTTGTCCTGCCTCTGAGTCTCAGTGCCACGATGCTCTGCTGTGACGGAGGGAGGCAGACACCAGTGACGTCATGATGTCATCCTCGCACTCTGACCTCACGAGCAGGCGACACCCTTGATGTCATCGGGTCAGCAGCCGAGCTGCAGATAAAAACATCATGCTGTGCACCCTCGACGTAAACTCGGAGCGCTCCCCGACGTCACAGCCGCACCCCGGTGCCACACTGTGCAGCCCTGAGGTCACGCTGTTGTCACACCGCGGCCCTCCCCTCTTGCAATCCCCACGACTACCCCAGGAATCTGCACCCCGCTGTCAGCCCCTCCAAGGGCGGGTCCTGGCAGGGCCCCCAGCCGTCAATCACCCCCTGGAGGTGGGCCCTGGCCGGCGCCCCAGGAGACAGTGGATTTCAGGAAGCACCAACCCTGGCTCCAGCTGCTGTCAATCACCCGGGGGCTGTCAATCACCGCCTGCTCCTTCCCCTCTAGGTTTCCCAACCTGCAGATGAGGAAGCAGGAGTACAAGCAGGCCGGCGGCCAGGACAGACGGGCGGACCGACTCCCCTCCCCGCTCGTGCCCCCCTCCGCCCAGAGACCCCCTCCACACCGCACCGCGCGCCCTGGGGGCCGCAGCAGCAGCCTCGGGTCATCCTGGTCAGTCCCCTGCCATGGGTAAGTCACTTCCTCTCTGCTTCTGGGTGGGGTTGGCAGAGACTCCCTTCGGGAGGCCCTGGAGGACTGAGCCCGGAGGGTGCTGAGAGCCCCAGGAGGACTGAGCACAGAGGGTGCTGAGAGCCCCAGGAGGACTTAGCACAGAGGGTACTGAGAGCCCCTGGAGGACTGAGCACAGACGGTACTGAGAGCTAAGAGTACTGAGCACAGAGGGTACTGAGAGCTCCTGGAGGACTGAGCACAGAGGGTACTGAGAGCTAAGAGTACTGAGCACAGAGGGTACTGAGAGCTCCAGGAGGACTGAGCACAGAGGGTACTGAGAGCTAAGAGTACTGAGCACAGAGGGTACTGAGAGCTCCAGGAGGACTGAGTACAGAGGGTACTGAGAGCTAAGAGTACTGAGCACAGAGGGTGCTGAGAGCTCCAGGAGGACTGAGCATAGAGGGTGCTGAGAGCTCCAGGGGTACCAAGCTGGGAGGACTGGGTCTTGAGAGTACTGAGTCCTAGGGGTACTTACCTGGGAGGACTGAGCCCCAGGACACTCAGCACTGGGGGAAGGAATCAGCTTTCTCAGACCCCCGGGGGAGGGGCTGAGGCCGTCTGACGTCACCCTGGTGACACTGGATCCCAAGTCACACTGGAGGAAGACAGAGCCGCAGGGCATCATGGGCGATTTCTGAACTCCCCCGCCCCTGCGATGTCAAAGGCGCTATGCTGACAGGGACACCGGAAGTGATGCGGGGCGCCAGAGTGGGGTCACCAGAAACTGCAGGGACCCGTCCTCCCCCATGGGGGTCTGGGACCTAAGGAGAAGCAGAGACGTTGAGACTCAAGGGTCAAGGGTGTCACAGGGGTCCACAGGACCCCCACCAAGCCCGGGGCATTGTGGGGTGGTGATCTTCCCTGGGTAGGGGTACCCAGGGGGAAGGTAATCGCCTGGACCCTGATGATGGGAACCACTTCCGGTTGGAGGGGCAGCAGGGATGAGTGATGCACTTCTGTTGCCTCCAAGGACACCGAGTGAGTGCTGGTTTCTTTCGGTGTCTTAGTCACTCTGGGAATAAATGGGTGAGGAGTTGGGAGGGGCTGGGCTGGGGCACACAAGGTGGGGACCGAACCCTCAGTGCGCTCAGCACCACTGAGCACACAGAACTTAGTCCTCAGCACTCACTGAAGTCCGGAGGACTGGCCCCGCCCCCTTCTGGGTGACTGACAGCCCCAGACACGCCCACACACCACAGGTGACCAACAGCCGACATCTACACACACTCCTGTCCACAAGGGGATGATGTCACTGACACACCCACGCACCCAGTTGACTGAGTTTGCGGCAGACACGCCCACTAGGCCCGCGTGACTGACAGGGGGCGTGACTGACAGGGGACGTCACTGACACGCCAGGGCTGATCACATGATGACACGCACGTGACTGAAGGTCATGTGGGCTGTGTGAGTGATGCTGACCCCTGTCCCTCTGCCTGCAGCCACGCCCCGCTTCCTCCCCTTGGCCGTACTGTGTGCCACCTCCGCCCTGCTCTACATTTCCTGGACCGCGGCACAGGACCTTCCAGGTGAGTGTGCAAGCACGTGCGACCCACGTGTGTGTGCATGCGTGTGCGTGAGTGTGCTCCTCAGTCTCCCCAGGAGGCATGCAGAGAACCGTGACGGGTTTGACAGGTCTCTGAGCCCCGCCTCCATGGCCTACATAGTGATTGACAAGTCTGCACAGGAAGTAGAGGTCTCTGGCCCGCCCCAATGTTATGTGGTGACGTCACTGTGCTGGGGGCAGGCCCAGCAATGGTAGGATTGCCATGTCCGGACAGGAAATAGGGCTTCCTTAGGTTCCACCCCCACGATGTATGATACTGTTACTGTGCTGAGGGGTGGGCCCAACCAGAGAGACTGACAGGTCCAGACAGGAAGCAGGGGTCCGTGTGCCCCACCACATGGTATAAGATAAAGTCACTCCAGTGTTTCCTGAGACTAATCCCGGAAGTGACGTCACTTCCTGTCTGAGGTCAGAGGACAGGCTGACCCATTGCCACACTACAGCCTTGGTCCCCCAGGGAGCCTCGGAGCTGAATGTGACCTTTGACCCCGGGACCTGGACGCTGCAGTGGAGCTGCAGGGACAACGTGATCGTGGAGAGATGCACTGCGACAGACATCGGGAGGAACGGGAGACCCAGGCCCCGGAGGATGAAGGTGCCCGGGCGTGGGCGGGGTCAGCAGAGGGGCGGGGTCAGCAGACAGGGTGAGGACAGCAAGCAGAGGGCGGGGTCAGATTGCAGGGGGCGTGGCCGGCAGGAAGGGGTGGGGTCAGCAGGCAGAGGGTGGGGCCAGCAGAGAGAAGGGGCCAGCGGGCAGGGGCGGGGCCAGCAGGCAGAGGGCGGGGTCAGATTACATGGGCGTGGCCAGCAGGAAGGGGTGGGGTCAGAGTACAGGGGGTGGGGTCAGCTGGCAGGGGCAGGGACAACAGGCAGGGGTGGGTCAGTGAGGGGAAGGCTCAGTAGGCATGGGGTGGGTTTGGAGGCGAGGCTGGGGACTGCCAGTGACATCATTAATCTCCGCCCCCAGCCCCGTGACTGCCGCTGCAAATTCATGCCCCTGACCCTTCACCTTGGGGTCACGCTCGAGGTCAATGCAAATGTCAATCACAGGCCAGTGACTGAGAAGCTGTATTACCTCAACCCAGGTGCGGGGACTGGAAGTTGGGCAGGGTGGGGGCCCGTGGGTCATCGTGACCCTGTCAGACCTGGCCCCGTCAATGGCAGTGCCTGTCAGTCATGTGTCAATCTCGGCCTCTGTCACTCACTGCGTCTGGGTTGATGCTGCAGGGACTTTCTCTTTCCCGCAGGCGCAGAGGGGTCAGCGGCGCAGAACGTCACTTGTTTCATCCATGATGCAGGTGTGATGACATGCCTCTGGGGGGCGGGGCCTGCAGCCCCACGTGATGTCCAGTACTTCCTGCATATCCGGGATACCAAGTGAGCAGTGAAGTCAGGGTGTGGAGCAGTGGGGGAGCTATTATGGGGTGTTTCAGCAGGGGCTGACTATTATGGGATGTACATGCCTGGGCTATTATGGGGAGTTCTGGGGGTAACTATCATGGGATATCACAGAAGGGGCTGACTTTTATGTGATGTTCCTGCCCAGGCTGACTATTATGGGATGATTAGTGCGGGGTAGTGTCTATTGTGGGATGTTCTAGGGAGGCTGGAAATATGGGATGTTCTAACATATGAGGGGTATGTGAATATTATGGGATGTTCCAGCAAGGGCTGACCACTATGGGATGTTTGGTGGGGGGCAATTATGTGATGTTCTAGGGTGGGCTGAGGAATATGGTATGACGTGGCATCTTCCTGAGCTGTCTCAGCCCCCAAATAACACATGAAACTCTATATTTATTATGAAGCTGTTGGCCGTTTGCTTGGTTTCTTACTGGAGAGCTCTGACTTAATTATTAACCCATAGCAGCTAATCTGAGTATTTCCACGTGGTCTCCTCTTACCAGAGAAAGGGTACGGATCTCTCACTTCTCCTGCGTCCTACATCACAACTGACTGTGCCTCTGTTTTTCCAGAATTCTTCTCAACCCCTAGTCCCACGTATCTTGCTTCCCTATTGGCCAACAGTGCTTTATTAATTAACCAATAAAACAACATATACATAAGGACTCCCCCCATCATATCCTCTTTCCTGTCAAAATAAAAGAAAAGTTTTAGCTTTAACATAGTAAAGTATATAACAAGGCAGTTATTAAGCAATACTTAGTCCATTAACATTTAGTAAGATTTAAAGAAAATATCATTTATCCTATCTTTGTGAGTGTGAAGTCTTTTAAGTATCTTATCTTTTATTATAACTAAGGAAAACTATAATTATAACTATCTGTCTTCGACTCCATCAAAGACCACAGAAGGATAATATGTAAATACTAGAAATGACAGAGACATCTCGCTACCCGAAATTCCTCTGTAAGGTTGGGGCATCCATCTTCAGCCCATAGGCCATGGTGTGCCTACCAGACTTCTCAGCAAAACAGGAAATTTTAAACTGATCACCTGCATTGGCAGTCTGTCAGTCATTTTCTGTGTCCTGCAGAATAGTCTGGCAGACTCTTCCATGAAGCAGGAACCCTGTAGGACTGTACAAGTTCAGTAGTCACTTTCCTGTGGGTCCTGCATGCCCAATTTATACAGTAACAGTCAAGCAGTCCAGACGAGCAATTTCTTGCCCAAATGACTAATCTTGCCATGTTGAAAGCAAACTCCATAATGAGTTTCTTTGATGCCCATCTTCCCTTCTGAGGCAGTTGGAGTTGCCAGGAGCAGTTGTGTCTCATTGTCAAGAAAAACCGTAAACCATTTAAATGCCATATATTCTGTAGGTCTTTGAAAGATTTGAAGAATATCTACCATCTCAAATACATCTTTGTATATCTAAAAAAACTAACCTAACTATAGGTTCTGACTACTATAGGTGACTATATACAACTTGTATTTAATTATGCATTACATTTTAAAAGATCAGTATAAACACAACACTTATACAAGAGGAGAAATATACACATCACAAAATTGACCTTAAATTCTTATCAATAAATGAAATAAATTCCAATACAAAGTATTCATTTCTATATCATACTCCCCTTTTTCCCTTTAGAAAGAGATTGACTGTGATCATTACCATTTACAAGCAACCCCATTTTAATGAAAACAAAATTTTATAAACAATATTTGGGAATTTGGGCATTGTTCATTAAAAACTGCTTCCTACTTGTTGGGGGTGCTGTCTGTACCATGGGGGTCATGATGAAACACAGAAACCTGGCCAAGTCCTTGTTTTTTGTAGTCTGTAAGGCAGCATCGTCTTAGCTGTTTTAGATGTTGGGTCACCTGGGGCACTGCTTCCAGGGGTCTTGGTTCATTAAACCATATAAATATGGAAGGAATCCACAGCTTTCCTTTTTATGTGGAAACACAAATAAAATCTCTTTTCTAAAGTAACATATCCTTATACTTAAATTTTGAAGTCAAACAATTTTTAAATAAGTTAGGTTAATTTAGCAGCATTTATAATCAGATGTATTTCAGCAGTTGTTCCTTCCTTAGTTGAACAACTGAAAAACACAATAGCATACAGTATCCAGACTCTCTGTGTATTTTCCATCATTACGTGGCTTGTATTACTCTCTATCTTTTAGTTTTACTTTTTTGAGACAGGGTTTGTCTGTGTACTTTGACTGCTCTTGAACTTTCTCAGTACACCAAGCTGGCCTTTAAATCACAGAGATCTGTTTGCCTCTGCCTCCCGAGTGCTGAGATTAAAGGCATGTGCCACCATACACAGCTACTCTCTTTGTTTATGGTTTTTTTCACTATCCTGTTTCTTTTTATCTCCCAAGCCTACATATATTTTTAAACACACCATAAACCTTTTAGTGGCTTTACTTTACCTCAATCTGATTTTACTGTAAATCTTTATGTTTTTCTGGCTACGTGTCTTTTATCTGCTAAACAACATGGCTAAAGTTAAAGCAGAAACAGCAACATGGCGGGCACAAGTTTGCCACCAGCATTGGGTGCTGTGCTCACTGCCTTAGTCTGTGCTGGCTTGGAGATGTGGTCAATGCCACTGCCAGCTGCTTAGCACACCATTCGGTTGTTGGCAGGGCCTCTTACAAGAGCCTTGCAGTTTTTGCTGCTTATACTGAGTCAAGAAGACTCCCTTAAGGGAGCCACGTGGGTCTATATTTGCTGCAACCAAGAAGCCGTGCTTCTCTCTGTTCTTTTTTTTTTTTTCCAAAATCCCTTTTAAGCTTTTGTAATTCTATGTGGAAATTCATTATCTCACTCCTGACACCATATGTAACTTGTAGTCTTCCCACCAGCCTGGTCCCAGAGTCTCGTCATTCCCAAATGAACACGCAGGATGCTATATTATGAAGCTGTTGGCCATTTGCTTGGTTTCTTACTGGCGAGCTCTGAGTTATTTATTAACCCATAACTGCTAATCTGAGTATTTCCACGTGGTCTCCTCTTACTCCTCTGGTGTGCTACATCGTGACTGACTGTGCCTCTCTTTCCCAGAATCCTCCTCAACCCCTAGCCCCACGTATCTTGCTTCCCTATTGGCCAACAGTGCTTTATTAATTAACCAATGAGATCACATATACATAAGGACTTCCCCCATCAATATGGTATGTTCTTGGGGAGGACTATCATGGGATGTTTCAGAGGGGTATGGGTGACTATTGTGGATGTCTTAGCTGAGACTCACAATTAGGGGATGTTTGGGGGTGGCAATTATGGAATATTCTAGGGCGGGCCACTCTATTATGGGATGTTCTAGGATGTAGGGAACTATTATGGTATGTTCCAGTGGACTGTGTGTGACTGTTATAGGATGTTGCAGTGTGGGATTTGTGGGGAAGAGGGAGTGTAGTGTGATTTTTATGGCATGTTCCAGTAGGGCCTGACTATTACAGGATGTTCCAGCCAAGGGGGATTGACTATTATGGGATGCTCTGTGTTGGGGAGTTAACTATTATGGGATGTTATAGCATGTGCAGACTATTATGGCATGTTCCAGCAGCGTTTTACTATTGTGGGATGTTGCAACCAAGAGGGACTAAATATTATGGTAGGTGCCTGCACCTGCTGACTGTTATGGGATGCCCCACCCACAGTGGTCATGTGTTGATGGGATGCCCCACCTACCTGGGAGGTCACCTGCACACAGGCTGCCGCCTGGACAATCTGACACTGTTGCCACAACACATGCACCTGACCGTGACCGGATCTAGCCAGATGGCCGACGTCATGTTCTACGATGTAATGCTGAACACCAAGCTCATCGGTGGGTGATGTCATGACTCAGGAGCGTGGGAGGGGGAAATGTGAGACGGTGGGACATGGGGGTGAATGACAGGACATGGGGCTGAGTGATCCGAGTGTGAAGGGAGTGGGACACGGGTGAGTGACAGGCGTGAGGGGCAGCACATGGCAGTGATTGGCAGGTGACCACAGAAGCATGCTTTCGTCTTCATGAAGGCACTTCTGGTGGGCGGGACTTGCTCCTGTCACCCCAACCCCGCCCGCCTTCCCCCCAGAGCGTCTAAGTCCCCCGGATAATATCACTGTGGTTTGTAACTCCTCCCACTGTGCGGTCACGTGGTCCCAGCCGCGGACCTGGGCTCCCATGACCTTCTCCGACTTCCGGTACCAGCTGGACATCCAGAGGCAGGTGTGTGCACCGGGGGCATCATGGGAAATGCGGTGCATGCCCTGGGGCATCATAGGAACCCACTCCCTGTTTACATTTATTCCTAGAACCCGGAACCCGGAAGTCCCAACCCCAAGGTGAGGTGACCCCTCCATGATGGCCCCTGACCTCTGACTCCCCTTGGCCATGAGCAGGTCACATGTGGAACTGCCTACCCCTCCCCACTTGCCCCAGGTGTGCATCTCCAGTGAGGAGGAGAACAGATACGAGTTCCCAAGCCCAGAGCCGAGGCCGGGTCATGTGCTCAGCATGCGTGCGGGGACGTGCGCAGCGAGCGGTGGAGCGTGTGGAGTCCGCCTGTGGAATTCGGTGATGGATGACTGAGTTTCCATAGCTCCACGATTGTTTGTTGACTGAGTTTTCATCACTCAATATTGTTGACTGTTTCAAGACCTTTACTTGTGATTGACCCTCTGTGTTTGTGGATTTAGTTTTCATCACTAGCGTTTGTTAACAACTTTGAGACCTAGTTCTAACCACTCAGTGCTTGTTGATTGTTTCATTACCTTTACTTGTGATGGACATTCTGTGAGTTTTTGTCAGTTAATCAATTGACTCTGTGATAAAGGGTGGGATGAGATTTCTGGTGGGTGTGGCCTTTGACCCCAGAGCTTTCTTATCTAAGCCCTGCCCTCCAACAGGCTCCGAAGAGCACGTGGTGGCCCGGTTACACGTGTATGTGACAGTGGTGACTGTGACCCTGCTGTGTGCACTGGGCCTGGGGCTGGCATGTAAGAGGTGAGGGGTAGTAAGGTCATGTGGTAGGTGATGACATCATGGGACAAAGAATAGGGGAGTACTGGCTGTCTCAAGATGACCGCTGTGACCCTTGACCCCTGGCCCTAGGTTCATCAGGATCCAGAGACTCTTCCCCCAGATCCCAGAAATCAAGGACAAAGTCACGGATGACGACAGGGTCAACCCAGAGGTCAGAGATTACGCCCCTGTCAGTCATCCCTTTGGGCCCACCCACCTGGGAAACCCCTCCCTGAGTTCCTTCCCCAAATGATGCCCTGTGACCCCAGTTGACTCTAAATGACCTCAGTTAACTCCCTGACCTTATTGACCACCCTGACCCTGGTTGAGCCCTGTTGACCCCATGACCCTGTCTCCGCTCTCCTCCAGACCCTGAGGAAGGATTTGCTGCTGCAGATGGACTCGACGGACGAGATGGTGCTGTCAGCAGGGAGTGTCTCCGCCATCGCGGTCCCGTCGTGACCTGAGTCAGCACTGGGTTCCAGTGTAGACTACTCTCACGTGTGACTCTTTAACTCAATGAAAAGTGAATGTCAGCAGACATCCCGTGTCAGGCCTGTGGGGTAGGGCTGCTCATGGCGTCATGCTGTCACTCACTGGGAGGGGCGTGCCCTGAGGGATGCCTGACAGCAGTTGTGGGTGTGTCCTGACACATGAGTGACAGGTGGACGCTGTCACACCAGGGTCACAAGGTCGTGTATGCATTGTCATCCATCACCAAGGCGAACCCCCAGAACCCGCAGAGCATCGTGGGAGGGCAGCAGAGCATCATGGGAGGGCAGCAGAGCAGAGCATCGTGGGAGGGCAGCAGAGCATCGTGGGAGGGGAGCAGAGCAGAGCATCGTGGGAGGGGAGCAGAGCATCATGGGAGGGGGAGCAGAGCAGAGCATCGTGGGAGGGGAGCAGAGCAGAGCATCGTGGGAGGGGGAGCAGAGCAGAGCATCGTGGGAGGGCAGCAGAGCATCGTGGGAGGGGAGCAGAGCATCATGGGAGGGGGAGCAGAGCAGAGCATCGTGGGAGGGCAGCAGAGCAGAGCATCGTGGGAGGGGGAGCAGAGCAGAGCATCGTGGGAGGGGAGCAGAGCAGAGCATCGTGGGAGGGGGAGCAGAGCAGAGCATCGTGGGAGGGGAGCAGAGCATCGTGGGAGGGGAGCAGAGCATCATGGGAGGGGGAGCAGAGCAGAGCATCGTGGGAGGGGAGCAGAGCAGAGCATCGTGGGAGGGGAGCAGAGCATCTTGGGAGGGGAGCAGAGCAGAGCATCGTGGGAGGGGAGCAGAGCATTGTGGGAGGAGGAGCAGAGCAGAGCATCATGGGAAGGGGCAGGGGCACATGCCCCTGTCACCAAGAACTGGAAGTGGAGGGAGAGTGGAGGATCATGGGAGGAGGCCAGGGTGGGAAGTCAGACCTGGGAGTTCCCACCATGCATCTCACACAGGGTTGGGTGCACAGGGCTTGAGGATGTTCCTGACCTTGAGGGGCGTGGTTAGAGGCTGGGGGTCAGCAGTGATGTCACCCTCAGTAGCTGTGACCCCAGCCCTCACCCTGGCCACACCTCCTCACCTGAGGCACACCCCACCCATGCCCACATTCACCATGTGACCATGCCTACCCTGTGACCATGCCCCTGGGGCTGGCCCCACCCCCTGACCTCCACAGCCTCCTCAGCAACAGGAGCTATGGGAGGACAGGACCAGTGGCTCCTGGCAGGACTCTGAGGAAGGGCAGGATGAGGGTCACGGGGTCACAGCTGCAGCCTCACTGTCTGTGTGTCTGTCATCCCTCTGTCTACCCACCTGTCGATCATCTACTGCCTGTCAGTCACCTGCACCATGATCCCTGACCTCTCCTGTGACCTCTGACCTCTCCTGTGACCCTGACCTTCTCTCCTGTGAGCCCTGACCTCTACTATGACCCCTGACCTTGTCTCCCATGACCCCTGAATCACCCTTCTGATCCCTGACTCTCCTGTGACCCCTGACGCTTGACCTGTCCCGTCCCATGACTCCAATCCCTCCTGTGCCCCAGTGACATCACCTGCCATTCACCCCACCCTCCAGTGGGTCACGTGGGTCCAGTTGCCCGCTCCATCTCCTGTCATAGTCAGCGTCGTGCATGGTGACCCGGGGCCTGGGAGTCACAGCAGCATCGGGTGTCAACCCCACCCTCCGCGATGTCAGTGCAGTGCCGGAGCAGGTCTGCGCCGACAGTCATGATCCGGGCCACTTCCTGGAATCAGGGCTTGAACCAGAAGTAGGGGCAGGGGCGGGCCTCGGGTTCAGGTCACACCTGCCAGAAACAAGGCCAAACTAGAAGTGGGTGTGCAGGGTGGGGCCTCAGGGTCAGGGCCCAGTGACCAGAGGGTTTATTGTGGGTCATGAGATGGAGGATGGAGGTGGGGACAGGAGGATGGGGTAGGAGTAATGGGAGTAAGGGTGTGACTGACGGCTGACTGACAGATGGGCTGATGACTGACGGATGACTGATGGATGGGCCGATGACTGACAGATGATTGACAGATGGGCCGATGACTGACAGATGGGCTGAATGACAGATGGGTGAGGATTGACAGGACTATGGAGGGTCTGCCACATGTGACTGACTGAAGGGTACACGGTGACATGACCCACCCCCTTCCCAGTCCATACTGGGAACAGTGATGTCACCACCTGCCGTCCAGCACCTGCAGCTGCTGTGCTGGACCATGCAGACAAGGCACAACAAGCCCACATGACCCCACATGACCTCAAGCACCCGGGTGAACACCGTGACCCCAGGTCACCCGTGTGATCCCACAAGACTCAGACTCATCCATATCACCCTACAAGACCCCACACACCCTGGTGACCCTGGAGTGGCCCCACACCCAGCAGAGGCTGCACCTCGCCCGTTCTGGTCCCTGACATCACTTCCATCAATCTGCCCCACCCACCCCATTCCAGTCACTTCCGGTTGTGGATGAGCTCCACCCCCTCCAGATGTCAGTCTCTATCCGGGCCCAGTGGTCAGGGAGGATGCTCCCAGAAGTGAAACCCTTCAACAGGAAGTAGCAGAAGCAGGGCCACGGCGGGTCAAGGTTGTAGCTCTGGGGGATGATGGGAGTGTGGTGGACCAAGGGACAGAGAAGGGAGAGCAGGGGATCATGGTAGTGAGTATCATGGAGTGTGGGGGAATCATGGGAAGGAGTGGGGTATCGGGGAATGATCAAAGTCAGAGAGGAGATCATTGGAGTGAGAGGGGGATCATGGGAGTGTAAGGATATATATATATATATATATATATATACACATATACATATATATATGTAATTAACTTTTGTTTCGTTTTGAGATAGGGTTTCCTCTATGTACTTTTGGAGCTTGTTCTAGAACTCATTTTATAGACCAGGCTGGCCTAGAACTCATATGGATGCACCTGCCTCTGACTCCCCTAGTGCTGGGATTAAAAGTGAGTTCCACCATACCCAGCCCTAAAATTAACTTTTAAAAGTTTTATAGAAAGTCTTGTTTTAATTTTTTCAGAAATCTAGTTACAATTTTCAGGGAATTAAAACGGTAGGAAGCAAAATAAAACTTTAATTTGCTTTACTTTGTGTATGTTTGTGTCTATGTGTGCACGTGTGTGTGTGTGTGTGTGTGTGTGTGTGTGATTATGCATGCCACAGTGCATGTGTAGGGGTCAGGAAAAACTTGGAGGATTTAATTCATTCCCTCCATTGTATGGCATCTGAGGATGGAACTCAGGTATTCAGTCTTGGCAGCAAGTGTCTTTACCCACTGAGTTATCTCACTGGCCCTGTAATAAAAGTAATAAAAGTTCTGGACAACATACAATGTGTAGCTATGACTTTTTCTGCTCACCTATTGCCTTGAAGCCTCATCAGAGCTATTTCAGCTTTATCCAATTTGTTTCTCATCCAAAGATCCAGGAACACACCCATGGTTAAACAAGCTGCGTGGGTCACTTGTGTTTGGAAGAGTCTCAAGTACATAAGAGCACAGGGGAGGTCAGTGGTGACAAGACAGGAACAGGACTGGGGCTTTGTTCTATGATTAGAGAGATCTCCAAGACTTCTCAACATATGATGGTGCCTAAAGGCGCAGTCACTTATTTCTTTATAATGCGGTCTAAAGTCAGGCAGATGAAGATGTAATAAAGCTGACATTGGTAAGATTTGGCTACAAAAGGAGGGTGTTTTATCATTGTTTAGGGGCACAATATCTCAGTTTGAATTGGTATAAAAATTTTAACCACAGACTGGGAGACTTAAGCAGCATTCATTTCTCATAGTTCTGGAAGTTGACAAACCGTGCCTAAGGCATGGTTAGTTCTGGACATTGATGGGAACAATTTTTTGGTTTGCAGATGGCCGCTTCTTCCTCTGTGGTCACAGGATAGAGACAACCATGTGTCTCTTCCTACTTGTGTGTAGGAATAAATCTCACAGCAAAGGTCCACCTTTATGGTCGAAACCTGTACTCATTATCCCTGAGAGGCCCCATCTCCAAATACTGTAAAATTTAAATTAGAAGTTAGGATTTCATCAAAAAAATTGTGTATGTGTTTTTGTGTGGTGGGTTATAAAAATTCAGTCCACCGCACACAACTAGTATGATTTTCATGTGTACTCTGACACTATTGTGACTCCTCGCAATCGTTTGCTTTTGTTTCAGGATAGCATTTTCAGATGTTGGACATAGGAGATACCACAGAATTCGAGAATTTCTAGTATTGCAAGGTTGCTCTTTTTCTCCTTTCTTAAAAGAGAGAACTAAAGTCAGAATGAAGCAAAGACTGTAGATAGAGTTTCTGTCCCTCCTGGCCCCACAGCCTTTTAGTGTTATATGACTAAATACACAGTCTTATATGAACTAGAAATTGTTTGGCTGGTGGCTTGTGAAGTGGGACATCCACCCCGCCCTCACCTGTAACACTGACCATGCCAAATGATCACAGGTGTGCATGTGACTGAGTGGTTTTAGGTCAGGGGTCAGGGCACAGGTGTCTCTCTTGCTTCAGGTCCCAGAGAGCAGCCTGGGTGGATCCTTGGAGCGGGAACTTGAGGCAGTCACTGTGTGAGTGCCCCTCCCCGAACAAAATTACATTAACCTGTATTGAGCCTAGTCCAGTGAATCTCGATCCATGGCACCTGGGCACTAGGTTTCACCCAGCCGGCCAGGCGTCTGCACCAAGGTCGCATCCCCTCATCCCCTTGCTAGCACTCTCTGGCCCCTGGCAGTGCTCAGCTAGCCCAACCAGCCGGTGATTGCTCACACATGAGCCCATGAGCGCTCCCCCAACTCCCCAGTCCGTTTTTTTAGCTCCTTGGAGCCGGCTCGCATTGGTAACCGCTACAGCGCCTGCCACTCAGGCACCCCTCAGATTGCGGCCCAGGACCACCTCGTTTTGCTGCTCTCTCCTGCAGCACGTGCAGCTCCTTGGAACCAGACGGCCTTTGATGGAGTCGGCGGTGCTGCCCATGTGCTGCCAGCTTCCCGGCTAAACTGTTAGCACAGTTCCTGGTACCCGTTAGCTCTATGGGTC